AAGGGAAAACTTTGGGAAATTTTTAATTATTTTAGCTAACCTCCTGCACTTAGAAAAAACTTCAAGTTTTAATAAATCATTGAGCTCAGTTATACGTAGTAGCCTAGGATGTTTTAGCGGCTTAAACGCTTTACTTGATATTTTATCCACCCCACCGCATTCCCAATGTTAAGCTTACGATTTGATGCCGGCAATAAACCTGAAGCTTTCTTTAAGAAGTCATTTACATAGGTCTCCTTCAATTTGTCCTTCTTTTCAGTTTTGATAGATTTATATAGACTCCCATTATATTTAGCGAACCAATTCGACTTTCTATATGATGGTAGATAATTTTATCTCCACAAGTGATTGCCGGTGTTATGTTTAATTTATTATTTTAATATTTTAATGTTTTAATAAAGACCACACAATATCTAAACCAGTTTTATCTTCCCGAATATTATTGTAATATTATTGTAATATTTAATTAATCCTCTACTGAATCCTATGTTAGGTCCGAGTGGTGTAATCTAATAAACGGATCTGGAATATGTAATATTCCTTCCTATTCTTGCGACCAATCGCGGTTAGTACGCACAATTTAAGAATGTTAAAAAATATTTAAGTGGTAATAGTTACCCACTTTTAGAGCTCCAAGGTTTCATTAATAGTTCTTTCCAGTCCCCAGCTCTTTGCTACTTAATATTTGTTATTGTCCATTACAGCTTAATTATATAATTAAAACAGCATCACTCGGTTTTAATTATATTCTGGAATACCAGTGGAACTGTCATCAACGCTAGCACAATAGGATTATGGCCCGAGCGGAGCTAGTGGTGATTAGTAATACTGTAGCTAAAAGATTATATTAGAGTACAGCTTTATCTAATATATTCTTAGCGTTTATTGCGGAGTGGTGAGTGGGTTCAAGGGTCCAATACAGCCAAATGGTTCTTTAAAAAATGTCATTTCAAAACAAAATAACCTCTTTTATTTCACGAAGAATGCTTCGCATTTAACTCTCGTCCATAAAGACTGAAAAAGCAATTTTTAATAATTATTTAAGTTTTCGCCACAAATCTTATTTAGTGGTTTGTATACCGAAATAAAATTGACATTCCAATAAGATATCGAGAGAGTAACTCCCTTAGCTTCAGTATTCCCACCTTTCAAATGATAGTTTTATTCAGTATGCAGAGATCCCCCTGTCCTTATGGTTCCTTGTGTTATTACGATACGTAGAAGTTATTATTACCGCAGGACAGTTCTTTGTAAAAGTTTTTAAACAATAGCAATATCAATACTTTCTCTAGACCTAAACTCCAAAAACAGTTAATTTTATAGGCCGTTTGCATACTAATATAGAATTTCCAAAGTCACTGGCTCCTTGGATGTAACGGGCTCATTTCTTTATAAGTGCTACCAGTTAAAGGGTCATATTATTTAATTTAATTATTTTGTCTAGTTAGAGTTTAAAGTAACAAATTTATGTTTGGTCTAGCCTTTTTTATCATTCAAGAAAATTTTCTTAAGTTTGCATACAATTTAAACAATTTGGAAATTATCGGAATAGTGACACTTTAAGTGTAAGCACTTTTCACCTTTATTAGGTTACAATTACTTCCTAGTAAAGTAAGGGAAGCCTTTATAAGCCGCCGAATGATTTTCATTACATTTTGCATAGAACATGCTGTGTTCTTAAAGATGAAAACAATCAAATGAAGAATGCTCCTCTGAGCATTGGACGCATTCTGACTTGCCACGAGGGTTTTTTTTGGGGGTGCGCCTGTAAAGCTGACAACCATAGTATTGACCTGCGAAGCCTTTCTAAAGCAGTGCTTAACAGTGACTTTGATTCTGCAAACAGTTGATGTAATCGTAAATCTTCTCACCTGATTTTAAAATTTTACTGGGACAAGAGACAAATTAGCGCTCGTCTAATCCGGTCCGGTCAGTAGCCCCCTAATGATTATCTTCCGGGATATCGTACGTATAACATACGCATTTTAAAGTCCAAATAACTTTCTTATTTCGCATTAATCCCCGGAAGTCTTCATATATTAACACCGTGCGAAACATTAACAGTATCTAAATTATATAGTTTGTATTTTATTAGTCCCTTGAATAATCTTGGGCTTTAAACTTTTTTCCAGGACAATATTGGCGGAAATATTCTTAGTCACTGTTTCGATTTACCGAACTTCGCAGAAGTTTCACTAGGCTTGGATTGCAGTTCAGTTTCGAAAGTATTATTATCATTAGTTTTATCTGATCGCCGTAACTTCAAATATAATGAACACTGTTATTATATCATTACTGTCCTCGCAGATTTTGTTGTCCACCTGTTTATTATTGCTGATATTTTTATAGAGTAATTTCTCGTTTTAACATTTGTTTAGTTTATTTGGTAGGGTTATTAATATTACTTATCATAAAAATAATGAAATTTCCGGTTTCTATATACTTTCCAGTAGCTCGCTGTCCTTTAGTGTAATCTCTTTAGTGGGCCAAGGTTTTTTTAAAATTTGAAGGGAGGAGTTTGGATTAGTTGTACTTACCTTACCACCAACAGGTTCATTTAATCTTCTAGTAGTCGTTTTCATCGTAGAGTTTATAATTAAGTACATTCAACACGGAATCGGTAAAAATTAACTCTTTTTTAAGTTCTTCAATAGTGGCTAGTGAATCAGCAATTAGCGCTCGATGATCAATTTCAGGAGAATTAGGCGGTCAACCTAGAAAAAGTAAATAGACAAGTAAATTTTATGCATATACATAAAAAAAGAATCATACAGAGTAGGCTTCAAGTCATAACATATATCGTTTAGTATATCTTGTTGGAGGGCGTACTTATTCGCAGTTTGGATATTGTTGACCATCACTGTGGGGAGGATTAAGGGAGCGGTGCCTAACTGTGGTTTTTCGGTGGTTTTTGCAGCTTCAAGCGGTTTTGAAAGACGAAAAGTAAAAGTTTTCAGGATATCTAGGATGCCTAAATGATAAAAATTGTACCTGATGACCCTGTATAGTTAACAATCAGTTAATAATCATTTAATATTAAAAAAAGGAAATAAAATATAAGAGAGCTTCAAAGTTACAGATTTTAATATATAATGATTGAGTTAAACAGCTCAAGTCGTTTTTCCAGGTATTCAATTCTGTATAGTCTCATGAAGAAAAAAATTACTTTTGTGTTATATGCTAATCTGTGATATAATTTCGCTTTCCATCTTTGCCATTAAGCACATGTTTAATATTGTAATATTAATGTAACGCCGAATGACTTGAAAACATTCTCATTATTTCCGGCAACCTTTAATTTACATCACAAAGTGTTCATACAACTTTATGTCAGGTTATAATTACTTTTGTACACTAAGAGCTATTTTCAGTTTTTAAAGAAAAAGCTGCATATGTACCTTAAGTCGTTAACACAAATTTCTGTGCTCTTTTAAGCTACTTCCGGTCTTTTCGTTGTGCTAATTCTTCCCCTCGTAGAGGTAGTTTATTATTAACTATAGCGCCTAAGATGGAGAAGGTTATTTGAATTGCTTTCTACAGCTTCTCCCTTAGGGAAGATTTAGATTAAACAGATTCAGACTGGTAACCACTGTGGCTTGCCAGTGTCATTATAAAATAAATGAACAATAAAAGTAACCCTAATATCCCTCTTTTGCTTTCAACATTTATTGCTCTACCGTTCTCTCAGAAGTATATTGTTTACCTTCACAATGGATAATAACTGAATAAAAATTGTCCCTAGAAATAACAATATTAATAACAAAACTAATATTTAATTAACGATAGAAAGGTTAATCAGTTTTCAAATTTGATTTATTTAGTCCGACAAATTACTATAAAAGGTAAAGCTTTAAAATAATATATTTCAATGGTTTTCCGTTTTTTTCAGTAGTACAAACGCCACGAGGCTTTTACAATAAATTAAACCCTCGAGCTTTTTATTATATTTATCATCGTGCATTTAATTTTAATTTGCATACTTTTTACTTACTTATAAATTTTATTTTATCTATTTTAATATTCCAGTTTTCCGTAATTTCTAATAGTTGAATTCGATTAAGCCATTTCCAAACCCTTCATATATATACTAGATAAGAGTACAGACAGTAGAAGATGGGTAGTGCACTGGCGAAAAAAGCACTTCAACCCGTCCGATCTGAGAAGTCAAATCTCCAGGAATTGAATTTGTTTATTACTACGGTCAGTGACCAGAAGGCTAACTACGTATTCCTTTCTAGGGAACGGAAGAGTTATGAAACTTTTCTTGAAGAGGTACAGGTGCATACTTGACCCAGCATAAAGCCTAAGAGGTACTGCACTCGAATTACCAAGCATCCGCAGAAGTTATTAACTAGAAAAAAAATTTAAAAAATAACAAGAGCTATTCATTATTATTCATATAAAGGAGGATATATGCGAGTTAGATAAGAATTAAAAAGTTAGCGAGTTTTCTAGATGTATATTACAAGAGGCAGGCGCGTCTTGAGGTATTTAAGCGCGTTTCGTGGTGGTTTACTCCTTATAGGTTACTGGTTACTGTTTATCACTTGCTCCCTAGGTTCAATTTGAAAGGAGTAGGGCCACTGGAACTTGACCATAAATGACAAGCCCGTTCTCTGAAACATTCTCTGGTAAGTTTAAATACCATGTTCGAATGGATTAGATAACAACCAACAAAACATAAAAAAGTGGTAAATTTAGTTACCAGTGAACGTAAAATAAATCTATTTTAAGCCCCAGAGTTTTGCCCATTTAAGGATTAAAGCCGGTTACAGCTATTATAAAAACCAGATCATGCATTTTAATGCCTTCTAAGATTAGTGTATATATGCTTGTATGCACGCGCCTTCTTCCCCACTTTCGTTAAACGGGTGTAGGCGTAGAGCAATTCAATAAACCCTTTTTTTTGATTTTTTCTACTTCCACATTATTGAATTGGTCGCTATAGTTAATATAACGGGTACTGAGGTCAAGAGTTAACAAAGTAACCGAAGCGCGAAGAAAAACAAGGAGAGGGCGGGGTACGGTAGCGGCTATAGTGCTGGTATTTCTTGAAAATGTTATGCCTCTGGTCTTTTAATGGCTCTTAAAATAGCTTTATTTGTGTTTATAACAACATTATTTTGTTACCATATACAAATTTTAACAGTTATATCTCAACTCTTTATGTGATCTTGACAGTTTGGGTTAAAAACTCTGTATAACTTTCTCTAGGCTTATGTGGTTATTAAAATCATTAACTAGTGAAGGTCTTACATAAAGCTATATATAGATTTATTCAGTTTGTCTAAATTTATTTTAGGCAATGTTATATTTTTTTTAATCCTTTCTTTCAGCTTGTTATCGTTTGAACAAAGTCGGTCTCTACAAAGTAGGTCGCGAGGATGCTGACATCATTTTACAGGATAAATTCTGTAGTCGAAGACAAGCGATTTTTTACGTACTCATTATTACTTTAAAGTGTACTATTAATAGTTTTATTTTCTCTAAAGGTAACAAAAAGCTTCTCTAATGAACTTAAGGATAAAGAAAGTAGACTTGGTCATAGCGAACTCAGATTAAAAGTTTTAAGTTCCAGGAGTGGAACATATATTAACGAAAAGCGTTTATGTAAAGAAGAAACTGCCCTTCTAAGTAGTCAAGACCTTATAAAGTTTGGCTCTAGAGAGTTTTTTAAGTATTAAACGTGGAAATTATATTTTTAAAACATATTACTAATTGTACCGTTTTATGTACTGTGAGCCGTAAGGAGTGATACCCAAAAGATTTATTTGGTTTTCTTTGAGTTAGAATTTTCATTTTTCTTTTACTTTTCGTCTTTAATCAAAAGCTCGAATGTATATAATAAAAATATAAAATAAAGAAGTAGCAAAACTATATTACTACGAAAATTACGTGTTTTACTATGATTTTAAATATTAAAGAGTTACTTCTGAGCCTCTTATTGTCTGCTCCTCACACACTACTGATTCTGAATTAAAAGAAATTAAAGAGCAAGTTGAAGTTTTAGGGGGGGATTATGTGGACCAGTGGACGCAAAACTGTAGCTTATTGGTCACATCTTCTCTCGTTGTAACTCCAAAAGTACTTTAACAACTTTATCATAATTTCTTTCTTGCGACTTGTGGAACTTTAAGGTCCTTCACTGTCTTCTGGATGCCAAACCGGTTGTCACCGTTCGGTACCTCGAGGATTCAACAAACTTAAACTCGCTTCATCTAAACTATAAAGAGTATGATTACTAAAATTCATGGTAGTCGCGGTCTATAGAATTTACTGATCTTTTCTCTGTCAAACTTAATTTATATTTATGTTTATAAAAGTTATCTTCCCACGGCCCAGGATCCCAGGATTAGTGATTCTTATTCATTTCTGCCTAATAGTAAAAGGTCCTCCTTGTTTCGCACCCTCCACTTTATTTTCTTCAAGTTTGAAAATTCTGAGTGGGTAATCTTTTTTTGTTAACTTTTTGTTAAGGAGTTCATTACAATTACTTGTTTCGTTTAGCTTAAGTCTCTCGCGATCTCTGCAGGGTCGACAGTAGACTTTTTTAACAGGCGACGCCTAAGTGAATACAGCTGCACCGCCGGTCTTTGGGTGATAGTAGGCCTGAGGAAGCCGGAGAGCGTTTACAAGTTTCCTTTAGCTTACGAGAGGTCTCTCAGCTTAAGCCCGGGATAAGTCTATTCAGTGCACAGTTCGGTTTACAATATAATTAAAAATTTCTGTATGTAGATTAAACGAGAGGACTGCCTTGGGAATAGACCTGATTCAATCCATTCTTCTGTGTGACGCATCCTTCTTTTTTACAGAGGAATGTTTTATCTTTTTAGTCGCAATACTTTATATTAACGTTTATTATCAGCCTTCGACAAATTTGGACGTTAAAAGGTTTTTTATAATCAAATTTTTCAAACTTCTAAACTATTCTTTTAAAAAATAAGTACTGATGTGTTCACCTCTGAATTTTCCTCTGAGAAAGCTGTAAGCCAGGAAAAAAACAATTCTTTGGATTCGGGACTTTTTACTTTTGACAACTTTGATCAGCCTCAACCTGACGATTCTAGTAGTTCCGAGACCGCACAGGTTTTACTTATGTTATTGGTTTGAGCACGGAGTGAGCAAGGAAGGTGAAGCTTTTTAGTTTATATGTTTTTAAAGTTATTCCCACTAGTTTATTATAATAAATATTTTAAAGATCGACTCCGCTCCTCAGTTGAATGCAATCTTTTTTGATCACTTTCAACCGGAGTATTTCATTTTGTGGCAATTTTTTCCACTATTTAACTTCCCTTTTTGCATTCGAGGCCGTTAAAAAAAGAAGCGAATGACAATCTTGGAGATACCACTACTGCTTTGGGAAATGTTATTTTTACACCACTATACTGTAAGAAAAGAGACAAAAGTGGTGTAGCTAAAGACACCTTGATAAATAGAAAAAGGTTTATAAAGGTAACATCCGTGTTTATTCTATTATGCTCCCCTCATCGTCTCTACCGTTTTTTCATTATTCATATTATTTCTATTGTTATTCTTTACTTCAATTCTTACTTTTTTCCAGTTTTATAACTCCAATATTTTAATCTTTGTTTATCTTTAGTTTACTATTAGTTCTTTTAATGTATTTTTATATTTTAGGTGTTATTATAGTTTTAATTGTGCGGCTTAACCTATTAATCTTTAGTATTGTAATTGCTTTTTCACCTTAAATAAATTGCAAAAGTGTTATATATTTTTGTTTTTACCGCACTTTACTTAAAAATTAAATAACAGAATTGGCGGGCGAGTTGTCAAAAACCAATAAGATTAATCTCCTCTTCGTATTTAAAAAGCCACACGGACTAACTGAGGAACACTGATTTTTGTATGCTTTCTATGCTATCCCCTTTTGGTTTTTAGGCTTCAATGTCCACCTTAGTAGTTAGTAAAGTTAACAGCTTACCTTTCTCTTCCCTCATAAAAAGCTTATATATTTTCGGGCATGATAGGAATATCAAGTTTGCAGGGGAAGTGCAGAACTGCGCCTAACTTAACGAACGCCTTTTAGCTTTGTCTGGCTAAGCCTGCAATATCGAGATTTAGTAGAACTGATAATTTTATTTGTATATAAAAAATTATCCTAAACAATTTAAAAAAATGATGGGCAGATAAATAATCTGAGGGATAAGTTTAAAAGCCAGTGAGGACCAGCATAAATATCTGCAAATAACTTAATTGGTCGGTGTAATAGGGGTCAGATACAGTGAATAGCTTAACTTATTTGTATATTTATACGTACCCTCCTTTAATTACTATCCTTGACTGACTTGTTCAGCAATTTTTTTTTTGTGGTTCCTTTTTGTTTATATATAAACTTTTTGTTACTAGGATGTCTATTATTCAAAGTGCATATTCTATAGGTAGCTTAGGAAATATAACGTTTAAGATTCTTGACTAATAATAGAGTATGAGTCTACTAATATTAATAATATTAGCGCTTTGATTAAAAGTTTATTATTATAATTATCTTTAGAATGTATTTTTGTTTTCTTTTGTGCCTCAATTTATCTTCCAAATTAGTTGCTATGGATTTGATTTAGGAAACTGGCTTGAAATATAACCTTTTTTGTATTTTCAAAATACGGAATTCCCTTTTTGTTAAATACAATCTAGTATAGAGTAAATAACACATAACATTTAGACTAAAAGTTTATTTAAAGAAGTACAAGTGTCTCCCAGAGTTAGTTTTAGTTTGCTCTAGCAGTTTGTACACGATAGCATTGCTTTATATAATTAACGTGAATAATACATCGGTGTGTAAAATATTGATATGTGGACTTTATAAAGAGAGTCTTTAACCAATAAAAATTTTTGTAAAACGTGGCTCAAGTAAATAGAATAGAATTTAAGCTACCCATTAAGGTTATTCATTTTACAGAAAATCTATAAACTAAACTTAAGAGTTTACTTTTCTGGCTGTACAAGTTATTTTACCCAATCTCAAAGTATATATTTATGTTAATGTTTGAACGGAATGGCTACGGTCCATGAAGCAGCATCCCGACTATTAGGCTAAAGTTTTAATTTCTAAAGATATCTTTTTTTTTTAATAAATATCGTAACAGTAACCAACCACAGCAGATTTTGACTAAAAGGCGTCGATCCAAATTTTTTGTTGTGTGCTAGGCAACGTATGTAATGAAGACTATTTTAGTCCTTTACTTGATCACAGCTTTGGTACAGGCGGTTACAGTTTCGACCTGTTAACTATGCGTCCCGTGTGCTGGTAATAACTTACAATTAAAGAAAATTAGATGTGAAAGTTTTTAGTATATGTTAATTTATTAAATAAATGTTGACTTTAAACTTTTCATTTTAATGCCGTCTAAGTTCTTCATATCTTTTAGTGTATGCACTATAACTGAAAGGTAATAAGCTTTAAGAAGATGACGAATAAAAGATGGTTTAAGTCGTAACTCATATGTAGTTTATTATTTTAAAACGAACAAAATTACTAAAGATAAAAAACTAGAATAGCTATAATAAGTCCGACACGTTAAATCTAGCAAAATTTGCTTTAATCTGTTAGTTATGAAGTTTACATGCCTAGTAAATACAAAAAGATACAAATATCTATCAATAGCTACCAAGGGAAGCATTAAGGTAGTCAACTGATAAGTTAATGAAAGAGATATAACTCGTCATAGCATTTCAATTATGCTCGTATATGCAACTATTGTTGTTTAGCTCGAAACAACTGCACAATAGATAAAACGCATTGTTTAACATTTAAAAGAAACGAATTAACTTTTTTGGTTTAGAACATATAGAAAGAACTCTTATATTTTATTAAAAAGACTGTATTGCATTAAAAATAATATAGTTATAAACATGGTCTGGTGCGTGAGTCCCCGGTCTAAATATGTTAGGAATCGACATTACTTAAAAAAATTTGTTTTTTTATAATATAATATCCTTACTTCTCAACAAACTTGTTATATCGGTAAATTAACTTTTTCTAAACCCTATAGAATAATAGTCAAGTGCAGTCCTCGAATGTGCATGAACGGTCAATTTTACTCGCTGTTGGTTAAATCTCCTCTCCCTTAAGTCCGATTACAGTTTTGCATTGTCTTTATAGTATGAGGGTAGTGTTCAAAAGAAGTGCTCTGTGAGATAAGTTTGGCTCCCGCACCTACTGCAGTTTTTTTTTTCCTTGTTTGTTGTGCGGTTGGGTTTGATGCGTCTGGGAGTCTTTAATAATGAAATAAACTTATAGTGCTTTCTAGTACTCGACTTGTACTATTTTACTTTATTGTCTATACCATCTTTTATATCTATATTATATTACTATGCTATCTATAATACGCAAGTTCTCGAAGATTAGCCCATGGAATCAAACAATAGAGTATTTAACCGCTAGGGGCAAGATCTGAACTCTAAGGCAAACGGTTCAGTTCAAAAAAGCTACTCCCATGAATTATAGCGGTATTAACCAAAGCATTATCGTGCAGAAGCCTCAAACCTCGAGTTAGCATTCCACTCTGTTTTTCTTGAACAAATTCACGCAATTTAAGTAATAAACTTGCGTATTACATTCCATTTATGGCGGTGTGTCTCTCTTTAGAATCCACCATAAAATTTATTTGAAATTTCGAAGCTTGCTCCGTTTCTTTGGTCTTCAAATGGCAATGACCTAGTACCACTTCACCAATGACCACTTCTCCTAGCCGATCCTGACGTTCTTATAAAACAAAAAAACTATGACCACTCTTTTACTGTGGTGAGTGGTGGTGAAGAATTGCCATAAAATTATTCAAATGTTTAATTTCTGTGGGTTTAATGCCTTTTTAGTGAAAAACTTTATTACTGATCTTACTTCAAGCCTAAATATATTTTGAAAAAATTCTTAATACGATGCTACTTAGTTGATAATTACTTTGACGTTTGAACAGATAAATAAATATTATAACAAGCTACTGAGTTTCCAGTAGTATTTTTAATAGAGGAGGCCGGGGATTATGTGCCATTCCAATTAAAGTAAATTGATTTTAAAAAGTGACGTTAAGTAAAGTACTCTCTATTTAAATAGTCCCGTAGTAGATGCCATGACTTATGTTGTCGCTTATAAAGAATTTTAAACATAGCAGCAAGGTAACAATTGAATATTGCTATTATTAGCATTTCTGTTAATAAGAAAACAAAAAATTTGATTGGTGGTATTATTAATTTTAATTGGTTATTCGAACGGTTTTAATTAAAGCAAAGCCTTTACGCTTGTTCTAATAAATCTTATTACATATCATTTTCTGTAATTATACTATATATTTTTTTTTTAAAAATTTTAACACTTTATTAGCAACGAAAAACTATAAAACAAAAATGTCAATACACTGCCATCGGAAAGGGACAAAAGTCTTAAACTGAGACAGAGGCTCATAGCTATGATATTAATGAGGGGAAATAGTCTGCATCACTTGTTCTAATTAGCGCTGGGTATACAGGTCACCATGAATGGTATACATGATATGAAAAACTGTATATCTGACCTCGATGAAAGGAAAATTGGCGAAGTCATTCAATTTTTAAAAAAAGCATCTGGAAAGGAGAGAAGCGTACAGATCTTCTCTAATAAACTTTATCCTGCCATATCACTTAACTGTCGAATGCAGTACTATTAAAAAGCTGAAGAACTACATGGGGCATTTTTGCTAAAACAATTAAGAAGATTCCACCCATTTATAACTGGTGATTATTGTTAATACAACAGAATCTCACTAGAACACCGCTACAGCAAGTATCCAGAGCAAATAGATTACAAGGCTTTAAACGCGCCCCCTTAATTTGAATTTTGAAACAAAATTGAACACCTTCCCGAGGTACCATAAAAATATTTAAAAATTTTTAGTGTGCATTCGAAGCAACAAGGAAACATTACATCTAATCGGTGTTTACACGTTAACGAACAAGCGCATATTGCAATTGAACCGAGTAAAAACCAAATATTTTACCAAAACTATAACGCAACCTACAATGAAAATAACGATGATCACGATGGAAATTGTGGTAGATACTGCTGCTTACCCACACTAAATTAAGAACAAAAATTTTTATGTTATACAGGCAATGAACATAAAAAATTGATACTTTTCTACTGAGCACTCAACTTTTTTTGACAGAAAAAAAGCTATATATGGTAAAACAACTTTAACACAACTTATTATAGACTCTAAAGAATTCATAACTATATTATTAAATTACAGAGTTCTAACTAAAAATGGAAAAATTATATTTAATGGCCTACAACGAAATAATTTGTACACGAAACACGACCAACTTTTAGATTTGAAAGTAAGGTTATGTTTTACTAATACCCTTCAACAAACCACTCCTTGTCGAATGTGTACCCGTATAACGATTAATTGCACCCAACCGTGAGGCGTCCTCTTCTGGAAATGCGGTTAATTTCGACACGCCTAACGACCACCACAAATTTAAGCATTACAGGACGAACTCAAATCAAATTTTAAAATATGAAATCTTTTTTCATTTGTGAAGTTGCTTCATACCCAAATTGGAAGTTAGAGAGGAACAGCATTAGTAAAAAAAACCTATCACATAACAATTAAAAAACCTGAACACAACTACTATATGTCAATATACTGGAATGAAACATACCTTCATACGAACAGCTACATATACGTAGTTGTGGGAACAGATTCTAGAACTAAGAAAATGTTTGCATTGTTCATTAGTAGAAAAGATAACGTTAAACATCTTTTTAGTATATTGGAAACTTAACATATAAAGACAGAAACAATCGATGCTGTTATAATTGAAGAAGTGAAATTAACTAAACAAAGAAGAAGTAATACTTAGTCCTATTCCTACGAATATGCACAGTTATATGTTGCGTAAAAGAAATATACAGACTTTTTTAACCTGACGAGATGCATATTAAACAAGCAAAACTACAAGATGCAATCTTCTTCACGAACTTGATAGGGTATAAAAAGGCTGCTCCTGAACAGTTATATGGACTTCAAAAGACAAATATACTATTATATAAACCTTTTGACTGTACAGGCTTTTTATATACGACACCATAAGAGAATTAATGACAGAATATTAAAGCTGACAACAAGAAAAATTATACTTACTAGAATATGGTATGTTATTTGTCAATGTAATTCAGATTTGTAAGCAAATGAAATAAAAAAATCAATTTGGAGGAAATATTATTGGCAATGTTCAAAATATTCAAAGGAAAAGACGGTTTAAATATTACAGAGGAAAAAAGATATGAAAAAGATAACCGTGATACTCACCATTGGGAATTGATGAAAACCTTAAACAAACTTCATTATCTACCAAAACACCACAATATGACAGATAAACATATCAAAACACAACAAAATTAAGATAAAAGAATAACACTATATATATATATACTATTACAAAAAGCCTTCAAATAATTTGAAGACAAAAAAAATGGAATTTATACACTAAATAACATCAATGAACTACAAGAAACAAAACTTATTAAAATTTAAATAAGTTCTGAGTGAGGAATGTTCTATAAATCTAATTCAATCGTCTTACCACGACCGTAACACCAAAAATGATGAAACAAGCAACTAAAGATGTATTTTTCCTAAAAAATAGTATTGACGAAAAATTAAAAACATTGACAGCTACCAAATATAGCAATATCTTAAACCAACGAATATAAAAACAAAAAAGAAAAAACATTAGCACAAAAAAATACAATCCTCATGACAGAAAATCTATTTTAAAAACTTTGAGAAAGGGAGAAATGAGATTAATACGCAGAAACAGTTTTATAACTAAAATTTGAATAAAAAAGAAGTAAGTAAATGTCTAAATAAACACATAATTGACGTAAACATTCTTCTCGGCTAGTCCTCACATGAAGTAGTCATTGACATCCACAACCCAATAAAAATGCCATAAGCCAACGACGGTATGCGAAATAATGAAAGCAAATAAATTATCATTAATTTCTAAAAGAAGGAATAGAAAAAAATGCAGCACAAAAAGAGTTCTTATCAATTACAAAACACCATGGACGTAAAATCGTTGACTTTGAATCTAGTTATAAAAGTAATGAAGCTTGCAAGAAGAATGCACACAGAAAGGATAGTCTATATAAAGCTCTCTTAATTGCGAGAGATTTCCAGCAAACTTTAGGTGTAGACTATAACGAAACATGATTTATCTCTTCGAAAGACCCATTTGTACTTTTAAAATTAAAGGAATGCTAGTAAGACTAGTAGACATCACAACCGCATTTTTGCATAAAAAATTAATAAACCATTTTAAGTATATGTTTCCTCAAAAGTTATACCTCATTGTAGAAGAACTTAATTTAGAACGAAAGACCTAGTTATAAAAACATTATAAAGAATAAAGGAAACGTATAGCATATAATAAAAAAAATCAATGTAGCATTATAGGCACTAAAAGAATCTGCAAACTTTTTGTTATAAGAGGGTAGTATCTTTTATTTAACTAATGTGAAATCAATAATAGTTATACAATACTGGGATAGCTTATCTTTTTTAAAGTGATTTAAAAAATTTAACTTAAAAACTGATTGTGCAACAGACAGAATGTTCGGCTCGAATATTAGATAGTAAGATGATATATATATATACACTTGCAACTACCAAAAATTGACCAGTTAGCTAAACTAATTAGATATTACCCAAAAAAGTTTATAATGTACTCGCTAGCGAATAACATTAAATTAAGGCCACCCAATCATGTTAACAAAGAATAAACTAAAATAATACAGTCTCATTGGCTCTCTAACAGATAGCACTACCTGATATAGCATGTGCTTCCACTACTTCAGGGAAATGTACGGTGTGACCGCAGTATAAAGGGTTTAAATTACAAGTTAACCCCTTGTAGGTTACTGTTTTCTATATTTACCACTTATGGCCTAGGCTTAATTTGCAAGAATAGGTCTATTGAAATTGACCCTAAACGACAGACTTGGTTTGTAAAACAATCCCTGGGAAGTTTGAGAACCATGTTCTGACGGATTAGGCGGTAACCAACAAAAAAAAAACTGGTAAATTTAGTTACCAGAGAACGTTAAGTTGAACATGTGTTGCGTGATATTATTGGTCAAAAAGTGTTCATTCTAAAAGTAAAAGGTTTATTTTTGGTTACCTAGATAAGTAAACATTTGTTTTACTCTTTCATTTTATAATATTAATTGGGATATATAGAATTAAAATTTCAAAACAAATATTGGACTTTAAAGTATAGTTTCAACATAGGAAATAATTTCGCAGAAAAAACAAATCTATTTTAAGCTCCAGAGTTTTTCCCGTTAAAGGGTTAACAATAGCTCCTTCTACTCTTAATCTTAAAGTTAAACTGTACCGTCTAAACTAGGATGTCATATAAGAGAGGAGGACAGAGTACTGGTCGTAAGGCCGCAACAAGTTGTTATCGTTGGTATATAGATTTGTCTACTTTATCTTTAACAAGATTATATACGTAATATGTCAGCCGATAGTGTATTGACACCGTAACTAGCTATCTCCTCCCTTCCTCTACCGGCTAACTCTTGTTAAAGGGATACAAAAGTCGGCGGAGTGTGGTGGGGGAGGACGATAGAGATGCTTCTCTACTTCTTGGGCTCGTGGAGGGGAGCTTGTATGGCTGTTAAGTGATATGAAGCATTAGTTTTATCAAACAAAAGTAAAAGATTGTGATCGCGGCATGGCTGACTACAGTTCGGTATAGGAGAGAGAGAAAGTTTGGGCATTTCTAGGGATGGAAGGCACCTGAAAAGTAAAGATTTTTTTCTTTGAGAGAAGAAATAGTCTCCTCTCCTGTCCCTTACTGGGTCTTTCGTGGTGGGAGTTCACACAAGTCTCCGTCCTGGCCCTTAAAAACTGCTTTTACGATAATTTTTTAATAGTCGAGGCAGAAGGAGAGCTTTCTACCTTACTTTTCATTTCTTTCGTTACCTGGAAAAAGAAAAGTTACCCATATTAAATTACAAAAAAAAAAAGAATTAAGCTAACGGAGAAAAATAAAAGTGCACATGGCTTGTACATAAGGTCTTGGTTAGCGGTTAGAGCATTATCGCGCACTGTCAAGGCCGCGAATTCGAGTCCCGTCGGTGCCAACTAGCATTTTTCCGGTCTGGTGGTTGATACAACTTCCCTACAAATAAAGTTCTGTTAAACAAATTTTGGTTTAAACAATTAATTAACCTGAAACAGCAATTTTTTTTTTTTGTACTAATATATAATTACAAGGCTAAATAAAATAAAAATAACTAATGATAGTTTTTTGTAATAAACCTACAAGAAGATATTTTTTTAAAAAATATTTGTGGTATAGTATTTAAAGGCATTCTTAAAAAAAGTTGGTAGTATTAAAGTAAAAAAAGCTGTACGAGTATTCATATCAGTTTAAAAGCAAGTATTGCAAAAATCGCTGATAATTTACCTTCTTTGATATTAAAAAAGCACCTACTTGATAAAGATATTATCACAGAATTTTTAGAAAAAAGTTCCCTAGCTTATGCACCCTTTGCCGGCGATAAAAATTAATCATTTTACTATTGGTAAATTGCTCCTCCTGGAATTCGATCGAGTCAGCAAAACGAACAGTTCACGCTCAAGTAGGCGCATCTTCATATGCTTATTTTATACTCTTAAAATTGATATATACATATATTAAAAAAAATTCATTTTTTCTTAAATACATTAAACTATCTTCAAAAAAAGCAGTGTTTGATACAAATTAATATTTACATTTTAAGTAAAGACGGCGCTAGAGTTTGAGGACTCCATTCGAATAGTGGATTTTCTTCGTTTGCGTCATCGAGTGCACTTTTTTTTAACTCTCTTTTAACAAACTGACGAATAAATTATAAATATAACTTAGCTTTTCTGCTAGTTTTATGCGCCATAGAAGAATATGATAACTTCCGCTTCTTATTGTAATATTAAAGGAGGCCAGTAGGCGACTTGGGTGTTTAGTCGCTCGTGAATTTAGTAGACTGTTAATTATTCTAAGTGCACCACGTTAAAAACAACATCAACATTGATTTTGCAACTCCTTTCTACTACCCTGCAACTCTAGAAAGTCACAAAATGTAGCTGGCTACCTGTATACAGTCTTGTACTTTTAGCGCGGCTGATTATAGCCTCAGAATGCTATAAATTTTTATTAATTTCCATTTCTTATATATGTATTATAACTCTTTGTCTATATCCCATACGTCAAGTTTTTCCGTTTATCTTAAAAACGTCTATATTCTCGAATTTCAGGTTTCCAGTGAAGTTTCAATTTCTTGAAACTGCTCAACTAGTTAAAAATTACTTTGTATATTAGTTTTTTTTTTTAGTATTGCAATAGCCAAACACAACATTATTGCAACACTATTTTTTACCCATAGTTTAGTAACAGTTATTATTTTTTTTTGTAAAATATAAGGATGCATAGCTGCACAATAGCCCTAAACAAAAAAGAAAGTGGGCATGAGGGTCACGCTTAATCTAAGTGTTTTTTTTTCCAAGGTGCTTGTGTTCCTTGTTTCTACGTTGATTCTTACTTTAAACAAAGGTGTTGCTACCTATATTTTCTTATTTTATATACATAGATCTTGATTATTAAAAAAGTTGATAATAACTAAAGAACGTAAGCATGGAAGAAACGACAACTGACTCTGATTATTACAATTTACTAAATGTTCCAAAAAACGTAATTTACTCTATTCGTAGTATAGAAGTTAAATTATATTTAAATTAGGTAAATCGCTATTATAAAGTTAGCTAATTACAATTTTTATAATTTACTTTGTTTATAATCGCTTTAATATTAACTAAATTAAGCTTAAATTTACCATTTACAATATTCTTGTGTTAAAAAGGTTCAATAGCCCCACATTCTTATTACTAGTAATATATCTTATAAATTTGATAAATTGTATTAACTTTATAAATAAACTATAAGTTTTTCTTATATTTACTTGAAATACTTTATTTATTTTATTATTAATCTCGTTCGTTATCGCGAAGGCTGATCTTCCGTTAATTAAAAATGCTTATCGGCAAGCTTGTTTACAGTACCATCCTGATAAACACCCGGAAGGTTTCCTTCTAATATAATGGCCATCCGTTAGTTATAGAAAACAATAAATTAAAAAATCACTCAAGTAATTTAACTAGTTTTTTTTTCGTACAGCTGAGAGGTTTTATAGTTCAGCAGCTATTATCAGTTTAAGTTTACTTTGAAAAACTTCTAATTTCGATCAAGTATAATAATACTTAACTTATGGTTCTAGTTGAAATCCGTAGTTTATTGTTGATTATATTATCGTTAAAACTTACTGTTTTTAATTATTAACTATTTCTCTAACAATTTTACTTCAGTAACTAGTTAAATTCTTTTTAGATGAGAGAAGAGAATTTGCCACTTCCATGTTTGCTAAAATTCAAGCAGCGTATGATAGTAATAATTATTGATTCACCTTTATTATTTATTATGGTATTATTATACTTTGTAGCTCTGTCCGACAAAAATAAGCGTGAAATTTACGATCTCTACGGTGTTGAAGGTCTACGTGCCTTAACACAGGTCTCCACTAGTCATAGTTCACTTCGGGAGGAAGTCGAAAGAATAAAGCGAGAGCGCCAAGAAGAACGTCAAAGGCAGAGAACGAATGCAAAAGTAATTGCTTTGTAGAGGTCGTATGTTGATATATAAGTTTATTTTTTTCAGAGCAAATTTCACGTCAGCCTCAACGCACAAAGCCTTTTTTGTAGGGAATCTCGCTTCCTGGAAAAACTGCGCAAGATAGAGCTGGCAGGTATGAGCATCAGTCAGTCTGTTCAGGTAAACTCCCAGTTTTTCCTATTCTGTGGAGGGACTTTGCTTAGTGAATTTGGTTAAAGGCACCCCTAACAGCAAACGGCCTTTGCACGCTGCAGGGAAACGTACTAGCAACAAGGGGCAACGGAGTAGGTACCCTCCAGGCGAAGACGCGTTATAATCTTTCCGACTCCAACTGGATTGAAGTTGAATAACTACTTCTTGCTTCTTGCTGCTGTTATTATAATTACCAGCAAGTTTAGTTTCAAGTCGGAGGTGGCTCTATGACGCGGTTCTCTTCCGTATTTTATCAGAGACTTGGAAAGCTAAAGTTTTTGCTTTTCTTTTTAAAAGTTTTTTTTAATATACCTCTATCCTAGTTTTCTCACTGTTGAGGGGCACGCTTCCAGAAAAGCTTTTACAACAAAACCCGGCTTTGCGCTTGGATCTTCTGTTACTTTTGGACGACATCTGCTTCCCGGGATAACAGTTTTTAGTTTCGCCGGCTTTCTTCGGTTTCTGTCAAATAGGCTATTCAATTCGTCACAGGGGCACCTCTCATGGCATGTGGGCGCGAGCTCATCGCTATCCACGAGAGTCCGTTCTGTTAGCCGCATATCATCCACTTCGGGTACCTTTTTTTCCCCTTCTAGTATGCGATAACTTAATAATATTTAAATAGGGACGTTGCAGGTCGCGAGAAATGGCCTTTTAATAGCAGGAAGTTACGAGTACGTGATTGATAAAACCTCTAAAGCTACCCTACAAGCGAAGGTGAGCGTCTGTTGTTTTTTATAATTTTACTATTACGTTTATGTTTATGTTAAGTTCGGAACCGGTCAACTCTCATTAGAATACGGCGCTGAAATGAAATTTTCTTCTTACAACACTTTTGGGATGCGTTTGTTGATAGGAATTCCACACGGCGTTATTCTTAAGATAAAGTATGCGATGTTTGTCTATAAAAGGAAAAAAGGATTACATATGTCAGATTTTCTCGCGCCGGTCACGTGTATGCCTCGGCCATTCAACTCTCTGAACTACCTACCCTTGAGGCTTCATTGTTTGGTACATGCAGACATGTATATTTATTATGTATTTCTACCATCTTTTAATGCTCCAACAGGCACTTTTGTTCCTCTCACCGCCGCCTGGGCAATCTCTAAATATCTTATTAACCCGTTGCTTCAGTACACATCTCCAGCGTAACCATCTTTTATACATAAAAAGTGTCATTATTTGAGCTGTACTTGATAGACAGCAAGAGTATATCAAACAGTGTTTGCTAGAAAAACGGAAGGAAGCAGAATTTGTTGTGAATCTGATGGCAGACGCAGTTAAGAAAATAATTGAAGAGGAAGAAAGAAAACAAGGTAGATTGCAGCCTTCGTTTTTTTATTATTTGCGATTTTCTATTTCTTTTTGCAGGACTTATTATTGTCAAAGCGTTGTACGGTGACTTGAATTCCCGTAATATTGGTAACGTGTGCGCGTGTTAGATTATAGTATGATAGAAAGTTATTTATTTTACCGTTCTTTGCTGAGTAATAACGAAAGTAAACTGTAAGCAGACTGGGGAAACCCTTACTGTCCAGTTATTGATGTGACTATTCCGCTTCAGAATCTTGTTCGCAACTCGCAACTCCACTTAAGCAGTTCTTCTAAAGTAATAATATTTTTTTTTCTGTTGCACCTCATCCACGTCGTTATTGCAGAGCGGTATTCCGGGCATATACGATTGCTGTCCTGCGAAGCCAAAGCAAATGAAAATCCAGTACCGTTTCCGGACGCAAATTCATCAGTGTTTTGTGGAGGACAACAAACCTCTGAGTTGTCCTAAAAGATGTATTTTTTATATATTATTGTTGATCTATCATCGTTCTCGTACTTATTATGGTCTATTTTTTTTCTTGTGTCGCCTCATGTGTAAATGACTATTATGTGTTATGAACCTTAAAAAGAATTTTTTTTCTTTTTTATATGTAGCTTCACTTAGCGTTTATGTTCATTGTTATTATTGATATTAATAAAATCATTACTTTTTAATTAGCGCACATCCTGTTGAGTTAAGCGGGACTTACCTTTTCTTTAAAGTAAAACTTGTCTAGTTATATTAAATATATAAATAAATTCTTTGGGTAACAGTGCTTACTATCTTCTGAAATCTTTACCGAGATAGCGATGTTGGGGGGGGGAGGGGGGGGGGAAGGCAGAAATTTAGGGATAATGAGATTGGAGTAAAGTTTAGGGGGTATAAAGGACATACTTCTTTCCCCATCGGCATTTTCTTACCCGACACCTGATCTTATGTACCTACTTACTAACTCTTTTAAGTATGGGTTGACACACTTTTTATTAAGGTAGTAAATTACGGTCTAAAGTTATTTTACTAATACGTCTCCCTTCTTATTATCTTGAAGTAGCGCAGATTAAAGGAAAATTTTTTATATCACAAAAAAATTAAGTAAAGTTGAATACCTGTTTTCGATTTGTTCGTCTTTTATTTGTCACTGTTGCGCAGTATATATAACTATTCCAAAAATCACTTTTTTTTATAAGCCGGTGAGCTGTAAACTTGGTGCCTTGCAAATTAAAAAGGAGACCCGTTAACGTGTGTGCTTGTTTGAGATTACTAGTCGACCCACAAGGTCGTTGTTAAGCTGAGTTGACCTTTGTCTTTATTATAAACCCGCTCTATATATCAGCCGTACTTCCTTTTAGAGCGAGCGGGATTTTGCAGACTTTACTATTACGAGACTCTGTTAAATTCTATTTAAGTTAAAGAAATCAATTTTATAGGAAAGAAATTAATTAATAAACTTTTAGGAGAGAAAAATAGTAAAATATAGCGTATTAGTTAATAATTCACAAACTTTTAAAGGAACCTATTTTCTGTTTTTAGATCTAATAAGCGGTACTTGCCTGAGGTTCCTAAATCTTCAATCATAGCGGAGTAGCGTCGCTGCAAAAGCGCCTTTGGTAGTGTTACTAATATCAGCTGATTATAGGAAGTTTGTTGAGTTTGGTCCTGAAGGCTTTGCCTTAAATTTTCCTCCTTTTTTTAATAGTTATAAGCAGGTTACTAAAAACATATTAAGGTTAATCCCTAGATCTCTACCCTGTCCTAGACCAGCTCAAAGGAGTAAGGAATCCTTTATAGGACTGTTAATCATTTTAATATTTTCAACGGTGAGCAATACTAAAGTATTGATTTTTAAGTACAATTGAGGAAGTAAGGAAGAATTCAAAAAAGTTATTTATGATAACCAAATAGACGTTGAGCGAGTTAGCTAGGGCTTTATAGGATAAGGATGTTTCAACTACCTTCTACAGGGAAGCTATTATTTGTTTTAATTAAAATTTGAAACTGTTGGTGGGGGGGGAGGATTACCTGTTAAGGAGCTTGTTGTCTAATTGTTCAAAATTAATAGACAAGTTTTGAAAAACAAGATTGTTTACTTATAAGGGGCTAACTTAAGGCCCTGCGGGAAGGTAGCGGTAATGTGAATAAAGGTAGTAAAGAAAAAAGATAAAGTACTTAGTTAACCCCACGGTAGTCGCAGTAGGTCTCTCAAGACCCTTGAGTTATAAATTTTTTAATTTTATATAATTTTTGATTATCTATTGTTTATTGAGATATTAGGATACAATTAACACTGTAAAGGAGTGTCTACATTTTACATTTTGCGCAATATTATCTTGTTTTTCGCTTTTTACCTTTACGCTTAGAGCAGTTTCCTCTATGGTTGTCTCTTCCATGAATCTCCGGTTTCTAAATTCCTAAAATTTAATTTATTCTTACATTTACTTTTTGCAGAAAATTTTTATTTATCGCACGCTCTCAAATGTCAATAACTGAAAATGAATGATTTTCCAAAAATATTATTTTCATAAAATTACTGTGGTCAACGTTTCCTTCATATATAATTTGAGAATGTTCAGCATGCTGAAGAATACTACCATTGGTCACCGCCTTGAGTTGCGGATCCAATTATACAAAGCTCATAATTTGTGGAATCCTATATACACCTCCCCAGTTTTGATTGTAGCTTGTTGCTGTAAGGTTTCTGTTTTTCTCCAGTATTCTTATCAATGCTTTCAGTTTCATGTAAAATTAATAAGAGAGGCACAACCTTGCGGTTTTTGGGAATTTACGAAACTAATTTGGACTTATTTCGGAATCCAGATATAACTGGAAATAGTCGTGGTATTTCCCGTTTATTCTTTCTAATTGTACCCAGAATAGTTAGTCGGTGGTTCAGTCACATGACATTAACTAATTTAACACCGGTAAGCTTATCATCTATGGTAATGTTTCTTCATCTGTCTGAATTTCATGCAAACGTTAAAAGACGTGCTTGTTCTGCTTTCTAACTCCACATTATGTTTCTACAGAAAAAAATTGAAAGTTGCAAAAAAAAACTATAACAAAAGTTCTACATTCTTCCTTCGTAAACTAATATCGAAAATAAAACAGTAGTTACATAATAACACCATTAGTAGTGGCAGTGGGTCTCTCAGGCTTTCAGTGCTGCTAACTCCCTAAGTAACCTACATCCTGAGAAATATTTGAATTAAGAATTTCCAGATCTGCGAGACCCCGCGCGACTACTGTAAGGTTAAAGATGTAGCAAGAGCTTGGAAAGATGGTCCTTTAGAAACGAGAACAATAGTCGTGCTCAAGCGTAAGTCAAGGAAAGACCTTAAAAGTACAGATAAGCTAGTCTGCCCTCTTTCTTTTGGCTTAGCTAAACTAACTTGTCGCCCTTAATACTGCAAGACAAGTTTGTTAACTTGTCCCTAGTAACTATAAGTCCAAGAACAAATTATGTTATCTAAACTTTCTTGTCTTTCCCAAACTTTACGCTCGGAAATGATTAACGCTTTAAGACATGCAAAGTACGGAATTTAATAGATTAAGCTTGTTTACTAATTTGTGGAAACGCGCCTGGCCTGGTACTATGAGGCCATTTTCTGATGACCTAAAATGGTATTACATTATTATATTAGGATCCAATTAAGTAGGGATGACACTGCATGCTAAGAAATCCTTAACAAATCGCGTCGCGAGGTCTTCAGCGAGAAATACACCGAATGCTCGATTTCATTAGTACTTGCGCATCTGTGAAGAACTAAGACTTGGCAAGGCTATGCGTTTTAGTAATTATATAACCTGCGAAAGTGTCTAATTACTGCAAAAAAAAAAAACGACTGACCAATGCGTCAGTGTCAATGTTCTGATCACATGGTAACCACAAAATAATAACGTATAAGACGAGGACACAAAAGAAACAATAGCAAAATAAAACCACAAATTTTCTAGTTAAAAAGTTAATATAATCACAGGCAAGAATCTCTATTAATGAAAATTACAAACGAAAGAAAGCAAATAGTCAAATGCAGCCTAAATAAGGTAAGTTATTCTAATTGAGCGTATATCGACTGAAGTAAAGTACTGTGTGCATAGTCGCGTATCCATAGACAACATCCAACGACGGGGCGAGGCAACAGATAAGGCAAACCGTTGTGCACTTCTGGATATAAATACAGAAGCCCTTCTTATCTGCCGTTTACATGACTTTATATGTGCTCGCGATTTACTCCGCTGTTCTAGTAGAAGTACTAATCTTATAATTGATACAAAAATACTATTAAGGCGGATCAGCAATTAACTTTCCTAAGTGCGAACTTTAAAAAAAAATTTAAACAACAGTTTACAATTAAGCTACGGATTACCGAAGTACAAGAAAAACTCTACGCAACTAACTTTGTTAAAAATACTGAAGTATGTTGTAAATAATATTAAAATGTTGTCCCATTCAGTATAAATCGGAAAAACTTAAATGTAAAAAAAATGTAAAAAAAATTGCTGTTTCACTAAGTTTAAATAATATGCATTAGCCTTTATTTCCTTGCTATAAAAAAAAGATACGAAGGTAAAGTTTAGAATACTAAGAAAGAAGAGGCGGCCAAAGAAAATTGTCTTTCCTGTACTTGTAATACTGTTTAGTCTAAATTGATTTTGTGTCCGGTAAAATAAATGAACTTATGTAGGGTATATACTTAAACAAGTACTACTTATTAAATTTAATAAAAATCTCAATTAAATAACTAATAATAATTTTTATTATACACTAAAATAAATAAGTGTTTATAAAAGAGCATATCATATCAAAATAAAATCGCTTTAGGGGCCACCAATGAAAAATCCGAATCCATACCGCTGTTCGTTAGATTTATGGTCCAAACTTCCTCCAAACTTAAAAGATATACCTAAAAAAGAGGATAATTCAAAACTGTTAAAAAAAAATATAAATGAATTTAGCAAAATATCACATTTAAGACAAATCATGTGAACCCGAAGTCAAATAATTAAAATGGAAATATTCGTCATTCACACAAATTAAAAGATGTTGTGCATATTTTATGCTATTTATAAACATATGATAATAATTATAAAAATAAGAATGTAGAGCTTTGGAGGTCTTGGAGTCAATATTAAATGGGTTTCTTACCTACCAATAGCACATACTAACGCCAAAAAATGTAAGTCAAGTTTTATTATAAGTAGAATTCTAATATGACATTTATAAACACGATAATAATAATAATTGGTTGTACAGTAAGATAATAATAACAATGGAAAACAAAACTGATGTGTGTACAAATATTATAGCAAAGTCACTACAGTTGCCTAATTTAGATAAAAATAACCGGGAGCCAACTTTCGTTCAATAAAAGTATAAACTTCCCCAGCAGTGTTCACTTGGCTACGCACAGTTGCGTGCTGAAAGTTCGCCTCATAGCCACCAGTAACCTGAGATAATTGTATAATTAAAAATTAACAAAAAAATTAATAAATTATACTATTACCTTGGATTCTCCAAAAAATTGACCTTCAAAATCAAGAAAGAAGTTCGTTGTGCGATGAATTTTTTTTAAATAAGATAAATTAAAATTTGATAAACCTGTAATTCTTCCCTAAAAACAAGTTAAAAATAAAGAATTTCACAAAAATTAGGTCAGGTAACTTCAAAAGTCGCGTTAGCTTGCCAGTGATCATCATTCTTGTAGGAGCCGCCAACGGTAGTAACAGCATCTTCAAGGCCGTTACTATACTCGTAACGGAGTGCACCTCCAAGAGAGAATTTTCGAGTAAACGATTGCAAGTAACTGAAGAACCAAGCTCCTATAATTTTTATAATAATAAGATATATATTTTTACAATAGTTAATAATTAAAACCGGATTCATTTACAATGTCTGGATCGCCAACTTTTAAAGACACATAATGATCACTTCCTTGGTAATCTGCCTAATATTATTATATAAGAAATATACTAATAAAAGAATAGATATTTAGACCTCTAATTGAGTCACCAGCTGAGATTGGCTTTGCCTAGTATATTGTTGAAAAATTGCTGTTGTTGTTAGGTTTCCGAAATTTCTGATAACTCTGGCTAGAAAACTTTGGGTGGTATCCATGTTTCCGATAAGTATAGTGCGAGGAGACTAAATTGCATATAGAGGACTTAATAAATAGCAACTTATACTATAAGAAAAAATAAGTGACAAGTAAGCAAAAGACCACCTGTGTACCTGGTAGTAAATCGACAAAAGTGGCATTAAACATATACAAACTTGGGTTACCAAACTCAAAGTTATGAGAAATTTGAAAAGTTTCACTCAACCCTTTTGTGAAGGATAATTTTGCTCCTTCAAACAAATGGCTAGAAGCTTGAGCAGCTGATGATAATAAGTTTTATATTAATTTATGAAGTAGGTTATGTTAATACTTTTTACTGAGCCATGTATATTTTCAAAAGAAGGGCGGTCCATAATAGCAAACTAACAATGCGATATAGTGCACTAGCAAAGCTTGAAAATTATTGTAAGATATTTATTTACGGCATGACCACCACCTAATTAATAAAACGTGTCTCCTCCGAGCCTCAAGGAAGAGCCTTTGCCTATAAAAATAACTTGTATTTTCTTATACAATATGGCTTAAGAAGAGGGATGATAAAGTAATTAGTAGATTAAAAAATGGTAAGAACTCAAAAGCGGTAATTAATTAAAATGGATTTATAACGTATGAAGCTCGAAGTAAAATGGTTTCTGGTCTATGTATAAAAATGTTATCTGTAAAAAGTTTTTAATGTATAATATTACCTATGGTTTAGTAAATATAAATTTGCTTTTCGTCAAAGTATTTTAATATTTTTAAAGCTTTTTAAGAATTTTAAGGCATAAAAAAAACTGTTTGACACTAACTATAGAGTTGATACAATAGGCGTAGCAAGAATACAATTGTTAAGTCATATCCAAAAGCTAATGACTAAATACTAGTTTAAAACAAACCGAACATATTGTTTTCTTATAATGGAAGTCTCTAATTCTTTGAGTTATAAAAAGAAAAAAAAATTTTACTACAATAAATAAGAATTACAGCTATATACTTATAATTGTTATAAGACGCAGAAAGAAAAGGGAATGGATACGACAAATGGCTTACATATTTGGCTCGATTATCTAAAAATAAATTTTTGTCCTTCAAAGTGGGCGTCCATTTTTTAAGGTGGTGGAAGATTTAACACAGTTGAACTGTTTGGAATACAGTTGACAGCAGAACTCTACGAGACATTGTTGCTGACGTAAAAGTGACTTTACCATTACCATCTTTCATTAACTAATTATTCAGAGGAAGAGCTTTACAGTATTGATATGATTAAATTAGTAAACCTAGTTGCACTTTTTGTAGTTCAAATCGAAGAAAATAACATTTTTTTTAAAAAACTAAAACGTCTGGGACCGTCGAGACACCAAAGGGAGCGAAACTGATTTTTGCGTTCTACGGGGCCAAGAAATAGTTAGAAAAAAACTTTAAAAGTTGTTTACTTCTATGTATTAATATAAACAGGCGCTTTTTCATTTATAAATTAGGTTATCTAGTTTTAAAAAAACTAGAGACTTGAGTGTTTTGATATATATGCAAAATTTAATAAGCCACAAAAATTAAGAAAAATAACATTTATATTAGACAAAAATAACAAATTTTATGTAAAATTTTAGTTTTCTAAACAAAAAACTTGGAAAGAGACGAAACAAATAATTAAAACCTTTAAATAATATCTAGCAGAGGAAAAAAATAACCCCCTTTTGTATTGTTATATTGTCATTTGTAATCAAGTAATTAAATAGTTTTTATCATAATTTCAAATATGAAGGCCTCTATGAGTACTATATTTAAGTGAGAAGGATCGAGTTTTGTAAAATTAGCTTGAACTTCAGAGATTTAGTATGCAGGCGTACAGATGAAGTTTTCCTAAGTCGAAATTATATTGAAGCCGAAAGTACTCGCTTCTAAGAATTAATACTAACCTCTTATTTGATTATTTTTAAAGCGCATACACAAGTAAAAAAGTGATGGCGCTAACTGGTTGTGTTTAAAGTGTAGATCCTAATTACTAACACCAACATAGACAAGAGTAGTTTGAAAGGCTGTTAAAAAAAGACTACTCAAAAGTAAAGCCTAAAGCTAAGCAATCTAAACATAACAAGTTAAGTCACAGTTGTCAGCACTGAGTCCTTGGGGTCTTTTTATCCCCTCATATACACACACACGCATACATACATACATGGTAAGAAATAGATATTATATAACCATATGAATCTAGAGTCATCTACAAAAAGACAATTATTAAACAAATTAGTACTGAGAAAGCTAGTTATTTAAAATATTCTATTTGTTAATTTTTGGCAACAAAAGAGCCTAAAGGTATTATAAAAGTGGTTAATACAAAAATTTGTCAAGAAATTTATTAATGATTTCCTAAGTGTACAAAAAGTAAATGGGTTGCATTAAGAATACGTAACATATTTTCAACCCAGCTATTACACTAAATATGCTATATATTTTAAAAATACAATTAATTTTTTTTGGAGCTCTCTTGCCGTTTTTGGATGTAGCCTGTGTGCCTCAACGTATCACCTCAGATTTACGTTATTTGTTTAATTTTTAACCTATTCCTATAGCGCTATAATTAATATATAATTATATATTTGAAACGTAAACTTCTTAATTCTATAATTACTAACCATTCATAACAAACTTTGCCACCATGGAACGCCACTCTGCAAGGACTGCTAGCCAGTGAGATAATATTACTAACCTGTTGGCTAGAAATGCTGAACTTAGAAAGAACTAGAGGCTTTAAAGACAAAATTAGCTCAAGTTGCGAAAAAGTAATTTTTAAAAAATGCAAGGAACCTTTTGGATCAACCATTATAAAAATGAAAATAACAATCCTTGTGTGCCCCTCCAAATTCTAGATGAACCTTTTTTCTATAAAAAGGAGATTATGGAAGACAGCGTTTGGTAGAGACCACTATAAGTTAATGGATAGTAGCATTAACTATAAAAACAACTCTAATTATATAAATAATAAAAGCTGTCACAAAAGTAAAAAAAAAACGAGTTTAAAAACTATAATAACAGTAGTGCAGATAATAGTAACTTTACTAATAGTAAAGATTTTATCAAATACAAAGCTATTAAGCCTAATAATAACTGGCCTAACCAAGTTTTGGAAACCTTTTCTAAGGGCAGATTAAGTAGTGGAGATAACTTTGCTAGCCGTAGTAACAATACCATCTATATTAGTAATACTACTAATAGTATTAATAATAAAAAAACTAATAATGACAACAGTATTGATAACAATAACATTTATATAAGAACTCTCCTAAGCAACCAGCCTAAACATAATAGAATACCTCCGATTATAATTTGTTGCAAACTAGCATGGGAATTTGTTAAACAACAAATTATCAGCAACAAAATAGAGATAAAGAGCGCCGACTAAGACACAGAATTCGCGTGAAACGTTGTCTCTGCGGACGACTACCGAAAAGTGAAATATACTCTTGACGAAAACTGCTGTGAATATTATACATACTAGCTACCTAGAGAAAAGTAAAGTCGTAATTCGAGGTATTTTCGCAGAGGTGTGTACGGAAACTGTAAAGGCGGATTTTATGTCTCAAGGGTTCAACCCGTCTGAAGTAATTAGAATGCGCTCATTTAGAAAGAAAAGACAACTCTGCCTCTTCTACTCGTCAAGCTGCCTAGATGCGAAGCAAGAATCAATAATTTAAAAAGTATAGGATATAGAGCCGTGTCAGTTGAACCCCTAAAAAGATGCGGGAGGATCGGCCAGTGCCATGGATGCGAACTATTTGGATATACAAAGAAATATTGTAAATCAAGCTATAAATGCGTTAAAAGCGATGGCTTGCACGAGGTCGGAGTTATGCACTAATAGCGAACATGAAAAGTCTATCTGCACCAAATGCTAAGGGTAGCATCCTTCAAATTATAGAGGATACATATACTACCAGGAAATTGCAACTATGAGAAAATTTACAAAAATATCTCTACTAAAGCTCTCAAGAACCCTGAAAGTTTCGTTGAAGAAAATATAAGCTATGCACAGTGTACTAAACTGAACTTATCACCTGAAGCAACTAATACAGCCCCCTTAAACGACATGATGAATAACTTTGTAGCACACTTACCCATGCGATTAGCGCTCACCTGGCAAAGGCCATTATGGAGCTATTTTAAAATTGAATAAATTGAGACCAGCTCTTTGTTCCTTACGGATTTTGGCATGAATGCAAACCGCGTTTATGCAGGAGGCAAGAACTACAGGAACTTTACCCGAATGAACCAGACATAACAATTCCCACCTCTGAAACACATCTGAAGGTAAGTAATCGATTTAGAGTACCTAACGATCTTGTTTACAGATGCGACAGGGAAGATACTGGAGGAGGAGGGGTAGCTGTTTTTATTAAAAGATATGTTAACCACCAAGCGCTCTATTTTTTCGACCTGGTAAGTTTAGAAGCTGTCGGCGTGGATATAGAGCTCTGTCACAATGGGAAAGTCGATATAATTGCTGCTTATAACTCACTTGATAACGTTATGCACAAAGTTGATGTTGATAAGATTTTTGCGGATTCCACCAGCATCTTAATTGGTTGGAGACTTAAACTGTAAAAACCCTTTTATAATAGCAGGCGAGAGAACGCCAATAGAAAGAGATTCGCCGAGATAGCTAACAAAAAAGATCTAATTGTTATTGGTCCAAAGGACCTAACCCATCGCCCAGTCAAAAAAGGGGTTTGTGACGTTAAAGGTATTACAATAATACATAATATTTAACGTACCTGTCATCGTCAGTACGCTAGTTGGACTTTCTTTTGAGCATAACCCCATCCTTATAGAGAGAGGAGATTAGGTCGCTTCGAGTACTCGGGTTAAAAAGATAACTTGTTGGCCAACATTCCGGGATTATTTAGATAAAAGTATAGGTACCAGGTGCACACCAGTAAGAAATCTCCTGATTTAGACCAAGCTGTTGTGCAAATGGAAGGAGCTATAAGGAGGTCTATAGAACACAAAAAACAGCAATAGGACTTAATCAGACCATATCAGATCTCTGATTAAAAGAAGGCGAAAGTTGAGGGCAAGATATATGAACTCTTGTTTCCTAGACAATAAAAACTTTACAACAAAATAAACACCTGAGTTAAGAAGGAATTGAAAACATGGATTAACGATAGCTGGTAGAATTAATCAGCATCTGGGCCAGAGAATAATTCCCTATGGAGGTAAACAAGAGTTATTCGATTTACTGAGGCTATGGTTCTAACACTGCTCATGAAAGGCGCTAGACGCTCAGCGACGACACCCTCCGAAATAGTAGAGGCATTTGCCAACTCATCGGAAGCCCACCCCACTATCTTAAAGTCCAACGAAAATAAAACACCATCCAGGCGCGTGTCCCATAGTTGTTGCTTACCTTTTAAGACCCAACATATGCAACAAGATTAAACCTACCAACAGTGGGGAACTTAAAATTATATCCAATTCCTAAATACAAGGAAAACCTCCA